CCCCATGTTCAACAGGTAGCAGCTCTGCTCCTTTTAGGAAAGCCATTAACACTTGGCTCTCCCCCTAGGCATTAGCATTAGGGTCCAGTTGAGTGGGAGTCCCCTTTTGGTTGTTTTATTATGTTGCTTGATCGTCATTTTATATTTTGTATTTATATATTGTACATGGTTAATGTTATATTGGGGGAGGGGCATTTGTTTTTTGGTTTATTGTTTGTTTTTTATGCTGTATGCTGCCTAGAGTCACATTGTTTGAGTTAGGCAGCCTTATAAATCTCATAAACAAACAAACAAACAAATGGTCTGTTGCTGAACAAGACTTCTGTTTTGTAATCTCTTCTTCTCAAAGACAGATTATTGCCAATGGTCAGAATATGGAAGACAATGGTATTAACAAGTCTCAAAATATATTATAAGGTACAAGAGGGAAACTCTCTGCTTGATGGGGTTACAGTCAATTGTAAAATCAGATCACGCTTACAGAGCAATTTTATGTTATTTACAATAGCCTACCCATTTTTTATAAACAGTACTGCTCACTTTTTCACCTGATAAGAGGATTTTTTTAAAAAATGCACTGGAGAATTTCTGCTTTAGGAGTACATTTTTAGGTCTATAAAGATGACATAGTTATCATCAGTTTAAAATAGAGACTTAGAAGTTCAGAAATCTATATTGAGTTCCACCCGCAACAGCATAAAGGAGAAATCTGGGGATTTTTGAATCTCCTATGAACTGAAGATCTCAGAATAACATATATAATACAAATAAAGTAGAATTCTGTCAAAAAAATTCCAGTTTTAATAAATATAATTCCATTCAGTTATTGTATTAAATTCAGTTTTAATGATAAGTACAATAAAACCCCAGTGCAACTATAATATGGTTTAAAGCTATGGAGATTAAAATATAAAAACTCAGTATTAAAAAAATAAGCAAATAAGTGAAGGATAGATATTCTTTATCACATGTGATAATATTGCTTTATAAATCTGTTTTCTGTCCCAATAGATAGCTGCAATGACACTATATATAGTCACAGCAGTTGAAGAATAATTTACAGTCACCTGAACTGGCTTGGCATGTGCTTTATATGCATTCTAGAAAAAGTTTAGGAAAGGTAGAAAGGATTCTCACAGCCTACTTTTTTAGAGTATTCCTTCAGCTTGTTGACTTTATGCAGTTTGACTGGTAGAATTTGTTTCCGCTCTTAACTACCCTCTTTAGAAATCTTGATTTAGGTCATACTTTTCTTTAACAATGTTCAACAATGATTTCTCTTCAACTCCTGTATTTTATTGTAAAACGAGATTTATGAATACAATTATGGTTGTCATTATAGTAGAAAAGCCCCTAATAAAATTTTGCAAAGAAAAATATAACATAAAATCATTTTTAATTCCTAAATCATTGATTAATTGGTTGTTTTTTTCTTTCTTCCAGCATTTCATGATGTATCTGTGTATCCCCAGAAAGACCTTCCTTTTTTCATCCATTTTACAGCAGGGCTGTGTTCTTTCACAGCAATGTTAGCCCTCCTCACACATCAGTTTCCTGAACTCATGGTCATTTTTGCTAAAGCTGTAAGTATTGTCTCTACTCCAGGGTTTTCTTAAGATGTTTCTGAGGCATGCAGAAATTGAGAACTTCATCTGCAGACCTCTAGTCAGAGCCACGGACATCTAAAAATCTGATTCAACATTGATTGTGGTTGCTCGCCTTTCTTTTAAGAAAGATTTATTAAAGATGAGATGAAAATCTTAAGGTTTATTTGGGCCATCTTAAATTAGGACGCTACATTTAATGTATCACAATTTTTGGCTTTTAAAGTTGGGAAACTTACTCTGCCATTTCAAATAATGTTTTTGTAACTGTTAGGATTTGTTAACAATTAATGTTTACATTAACAGCATGGAAATATTTAGACTGTAAGCTCTCTGGGCAAGAAGAACTTTCCCTCAGTATCCTTCCTGTTATTGACCAAATATATTATAATAAATGGTTGTATCATTTTCTTCTTGACATTCATTGCCAACTAAATAAACTTTGTGGGGGAACTGAATGGAATTTGGAATATGGTGCTATGACCTAGATGTTGCTTACCACAAATTCAAGTCTATCTGCAAATCTTTTCATCTTCCCCAAGGATAATGTAGTGTAATAGGCTAATGGATATAGTGAAACTGGGAGCCATGAAGAATTTTCTTATATTTTACTTGTATTTTCAGAATATATATTTATTGAAATTTGGAAATAAAATTGGAATTATGTGTCCAGTTGATTAAATCTGAATTATGTATGGTTTTGTTGTTATGTTAGTAATCATGACACTTGTTAACTTGGAGAGAGAAAAAAGGACTTTGTTTCATCTGACATCCAACTCCAGTTCATTGGACCACTTTAGACATGCGCCCAAGTGGACACAGCTTTTTGGTAGATTCAGAGTTTCATCTGTATGAATTTCTGAACACTGTTGCTTCCAAACTTTTTTTTTCTTTTTGTCTTTCTATAATTCTAAAACTGCTGTCCCATCTGGAACTAGAGCAGTGAAGATAGTGGACTTCAATGAGTTTTTCAATTGAGTTCAAAAAACAGAATTAGACTAGCTAGAAAAATAGAAGAATCACTATTTCAGAACTGTGAACCTCCTGCATAAACTTGAATCTGGTGGCATCAGTAGCCCTTAAATTTATAAGAAACAAGAACATCTTGTTGTAAAGTATATAATAATGAATTTTATGTCCTTCTCAGATTATATTGATGGACCTAGTTGGACTTGCCCTCAAGAGTTCATAAATAAAACTTAAAAAATTATCTTTCATGACATTCCTTTTTACGGCACCAACACGAATCTGAAATGGTACATATTATTGCTAATAAAATAATATACTATTTACTCTAATAGTGTTCAGTTTCTGTTCCGTAGTGGGAAGGTGGTGGTTATTGGTGACACTAAGTAGCAGTAATTTTTATTACAAATTTGTCCCAAAAGCAAACTTCCATTATCATACAGACACAAGCATTTCATATTAGTGAATAGTACCATAAAATAAAATAAAACATAAATGTTATCATAAAGTAAAACATAAAATTACCAAAAAAGGAGCTACAGTGAAATACTATATGAGCGTAAAAAAAAAAGGAAAGATAGAATCGGTCCCTCAACAAATAAAGGTATACTCAAGCAATATAATGAATAGAGTGTTGAAACCGAGCACAGCTGCTAGTTTTGTGTATCAGTGTCTCATGTAATCAGTATTTTATTTTAATTAGACTTTGCTGAAATCAGGTTGTATGATAAATACGCCTGGTTAGCACCAAATTTAGTAATTATTGCAGAAAAATTTTGCTGGATGTGTTGATGGCAAGAATAGAGCTAATCTGCTTGGTTAATACTTGAGGACTGAATTAATAAAATTGTGTGATTTCCATAGAGATATCAGTCAAATTGTATAATAAGAAAATATGTTACATTAACAAATAATTGCTTGTTGTTCTTTGCTTTCCTCTACTCTGTTACTCACTCGTGTTGCCACAAATCTGCTCCAGAGGGCGCCCCCAACTTTAAAAATTAGTTTTGTAGTATATTCAGAAGGGGACTGCTAACAGTTACCATTCAATTAGTAGATGGGCACAACCCATACTTTTAAAACATAACATATGACAATTATTAGTACAGAAAGCTTTCACTGATTTATGTTTGCTTTTAGATCATTTTATATGTGAATGGCATTCAAAATTCTACTTGCTGAGAGTTTTTCCAGTGAAATTGATGCTTGAAACATCAGTTATCAGTGTTTGAATGGCAAAAGGGACAGCAGAAAGGCCTCTGAAATTTGCAGATGTTTTCCACTTAATTTCAGTTTTATCATCTTCCATATTTTTATAATCATAACAAAGTGATTTATCACAAGATAGAAGAGAACTAGTCATCTTTCTTCCCCTCCTTTAAAGCCAGTTTTCAGTAAAGAAAAATGATTCAATATAGTCCTATGCATACAGACTCAGAAGTAAAGGCAGTTAATTCCTGGATGTATTTTAGGATTGCAGCTTTCATTTTTGACATGTAAATTGATTTAACTCATTTGTTCTGCTTGCTCTGACACTGGAGTCTTGCTTTGGTATTGGAAAATCATTTGTGACTGCCGTCCCTTGATTAAAGTAGTAATGGCTTTTGTTATCTGCACATATTTAACATTTCTGAGGAAACAGCATACTTCATTATTTGTAACTAATAACTTGACAATCACACACACACTCCCCAATACAATGGAAAAAGACAGTGTCTACCTACAGTTTTTGTAAGTGCCGGTACTTTAAAAAACCTTTAATTCTGGATTGATACAGTGCAGGCTTTTCATTGTCTACTCAGAAGTAAATGTAATGATTTACCATTTAAGAATGCTAGGGGCAATCTAAGGCTATGATTACAGTTATTTCATTGAATCATAATTAGTAGATCTATATAAAATAAAGTCACTGAATTTCTCTTTGAATATTTACAGCTATAAGAAATGTATCTTAATGAGATTCTGTTCATACCTTTGACAAAATAATGTTTACTAAATTCTAGTGTTTTGTAGAACAAAACGTATTTAGGGGGAAATTATTCAGGAAAACCTAAGAATAACCCAGTGAGAACTTATTGTATGTATTGGCCACTAGATACTGATTGTTTGGGGCTGGATGCCAGAAATTAAGTGGGATAGAAAAAGTAATAGAATATCATGGCTAGAATGCTAAATAGGTATTGGGGATTCCATATAGAACTTAATAATCTTGTTTTTTAGCAAGACTTAGGCATTGTAGCCTCTCTTTTAAAAATGGAGGCATTTCCATAAAATTAACATTATTTAACTGGAGTAAAATCTTAAATTGGAGTTTTATCCAGTTTTCTTATATTATTACATCATTTTCTTACTGTATCACTTACTGGAGTTTAGGTGGATATCAGTTAAATACATAGTTCACCCCTATCTTAAATTGAAATAATTCTGTGTTTTTAAGCTTCTTGAATGCCAGTCACAACAGGGCAGTATCACAGGAAAGTATTATGGTTCTGTATTTTGGGGCTATGAGGAGACCTGTAATCATGGCAGTAAGTAAAACCCTTAATGTGTGTCTGAGCTGCATATAGAATTGCAGTCTCAAAAGTATGGTCTGTTGATAATTAACTATTGTGATGGTACAAAGAGTAGTTTCTGGACACGTTGTTATAGATCAAATCTAGCACTTTGAAATGTGCCTGAAAGGCACTGCTATTTGTAAGAGGTGTCCCAAAAGTCCGCCTTTTGGTATACTGAAATACTAGGCTTCACATAATTCTGTTGACCCTAATGTCATAGATTGAAACCATCCATTTTCCAATCTTCTAAAAGGTTAAGGTTGGTTTTGTTCCTTATGCATTTTAAATATAGCAGATCTTGAGCAGCTGAATAACTGTTGTTGGGGCTATATTGAACCTTTAACACAAAAAAGACCCAGTTAGACATTTTTAATCTCTAGACTAAATTAAATATTAAGCTAACTATAAGATGTGGGCTTTTTTGGCTTGCTTATTTATTTTCATGCTATGCCCTATGTTTCATATAAAACAGACTTATTTAATGTAGATTATGTATTATTTGGACATTGACCTGGATATTAAATAGTTTTCATCGTTCAAGAAAGTGAGCTTAGTTCTGCCCCTGCCCCAATTATTAGATAAAAGCAATTCTGATAACTCTATGTGACAAATTTTGTTGCCGCCTGTTTTCCAAGAAATTAAATGTGATATATATGGTTTTTAGCCACCAACCCTACTTCCCATGATGTAGTTGAACTGAGATACATTGGCTGGCCCAAGGTCAGCTTGTTACAATATGCTAAAAAGTTTGTGAACCCTTTTGAATTTTCAATATTTCTGCCTAAATATCACCTAAAATGCAATCTGTTCTCCACACAAGTCCTAAAGCTAGATAAAGAGAACACAATTAAACAAATGAGTCAAAAACATTATACTTGTTCATTGATTTATGGGGGAAAAGGATACAAAGCTACATATTTGTGGGTGACAAAAGTATGTGAACCTTTACTTTCAGTAACTGGTGTGCCCCCTTTGGGCAACAATAACTGCAACTAAACATTTCTGATCACTGTTTATCAGTCCTACACATCAGCTTGGAGGAATTTTAGCCCATGTCTCCTCACAGAACAGCTTCAACTCAGGGATGTTGGTGGACTTCCTCGCATGAACTGCCCGCTTCAATTCCTTCCACAACACTTCTCTAGAATTAAGGTCAGGACTTTGACTTGGCCATTCCAAAACATTAATTTTCTCACGTACTTTTGCCAATGATATAACTTGGATCATTTTCCTCAATAAATAAATGAACAAGTATAATGATTTTGACTTGTTTGTTTAATTGATCATGTTTTAGGTCATATTTATACACAAATATTGAAAATTCAAAAGCGTTCAGAACTTTAAAACACTATTGTAGGTTCATGGTTGAGAGAGAATATGAATTCAGTGTTACATATGCTAGAGCAATTTGATCATTCCAGACACAGTTTCCCTCAAGGTTGTGTGTGAAAGAAGTTCATAAGATTTTGTCCCTGCTTCTAAATTTTAAAGGTTGGTACATCCTCAGACTGTCCCAAGTTACTGAAGTACACAACTCATATTTAAAAAAACAAAACAGTTCATCATCATATTTCTCAGTTTAAAGAAGTTTTAAGCAGAGGTGCTAGATAGTCTCAGCTAATCAGTACTGTTAGCTATGTATGATCTCGTAAAACTACAAAACTTAATATATTTATTTAGTGGAATAGCATTGGTTTTTATATTTTTACTGGATCATATTTCCTTTGTTTCCTCTACAGTCAGATTGCCAGACAAAACCCTAGCCAAACTGCAAAAACTTGTTGAAAAGCCAAAACCCACAGAGAATCTTTTAATAGCTGTAGTGTATGCACAATGGAATATGACAGCAAACAGCCCAGATTTGGCAAATAGTTGCTCAATGGAATTGAATGGAATCTTTCCATTGAGTCCAATGGGGTACAGAAATGTTGGCCAACTTTTGCTTCAGCTGGAAAGGGCTTCAGATTTTGAAGTCCTGCTTTCCAGAAGCTTTGGATGTCCCACTGGGAAGTAGGATTACTATTATTGAACTTGTTTGCATGGTTGCTTAACATGAAGAGGGAAAAGCCAGTAGTATGTCTTAGAGTTCTTTATACAAAACAAGAAGTGAATCTGCAGTAGATTTACATGCTATGAAAACCTATGGATGGGATGCTGTCTTCACACAACAGCCTTCATCTTAATGTAGCCTTATTGTGCAAGTAGGATGCAACAGTTAAGGACCATCTGATATCTCTCTCTTTTCATCTTAGATGGTACCTCCTAAGAGCTGAAGTAACAGGGGTAGCTTTATTACAAAGCAATGCAAAACAGTTATTGATGACTGTTTCCAAGGTATGCAACATTTTCCTACCAATAACTTGCATTTGCTTACATTTATTTTAAGAATCACCCCAGTCTTGAATGCTGAGGAAAATGGGTTTGTTTTATCCTTTGAGATTTGCAATTAATTAAAGTTAAGACTAAGAGGTAAAATCCATTATTTTGTGTAGTTTTAGGGTTCGTGTAAACTACAAGTTCCTGAGAGGAAATCCACCATACTTTTCTATCCTATAAATTTGCTTTGATTGAGAAACATAGCTTTCAGTGACATGGTTCCTTTGGATTGCTTCATATGGATTTTACCCATATTATGAATTAGAAACATCTAATAAGGACCTTTAGTAGTGTTTGGATTTTAGTGTCAGATTATATCACAAATACAATTGTCTAATGATAATTTGACTCTTTCATTTTATAAAACACCAAGAAGTTTGATTTTGTGCAGCATGCTTGAAATGGCTGCTCTAATGTACTTTTTAAAACATAATATGATGAGATGAACATTTATTGAGGCTTTCTGGTTCCTGTTCCCATCAGGTTATTACTGAGTAACCTAAAGATGTAAACAGAAAGGGCATTGTGCTTTTGTAGTGTTTTTGTATACAAAGAACTTCATATTCATAACTCAATCCTTACAACAGCCTTTAACATAGTTCAATCTTGACTATATACGCCAAGCTTTAAATTTCTCTCACTCTTAGGCATTATTCCACTTCACCTCATTTAATTGGCCACTGTATACTTATTTGTAGGGACTTCTTATTTTGTTTTCACAAATTAGAGTTATTCAAGTGAAACTCGAAAAATTAGAATATCGTGCAAATGTTCATTTATGTCAGTATGGCAACT